TTGTCTTGTTCCTGATTTCAGGGGAAATGCTTTCAATTTTTCACCATTGAGGGTAATGCTTGCTGTGGGTTTGCCATATATAGCTTTTATTATGTTGAGGTATGTTCCTTCTATTCCTGCTTTCTGGAGAGTTTTAATCATAAATGGATGTTGAATTTTGTCAAAGGCTTTTTCTGCATCTATTGAGATAATCATATGGTTTTTATCTTTCAATTTGTTAATGTGGTGCATTACACTGATTGATTTGCGGATATTAAAGAATCCTTGCATTCCTGGGATAAAGCCCACTTGGTTATGATGTATGATTTTTTTAATATGTTGTTGGATTCTGTTAAAAACCTCGAATAGCCACAGTCATCAAGACAGTATGGTACTGGCACAATGACAGAAATATAGATCAATGGAACAGAATAGAAAGCCCAGAGATAAATCCACAAACCTATGGACACCTTATTGTCGACAAAGGAGGCAAGAATATACAATGGAAAGAAGACAACCTCTTTAACAAGTGGTGCTGGGAAAACTGGTCAACCACTTGTAAAAGAATGAAACTAGAACACTTTCTAACACCATACACAAAAATAACTCAAAATGGATTAAAGATCTAAATGCAAGACCAGAAACTATAAAACTCCTAGAGGAGAACATAGGCAAAACACTCTCCGACATAAATCACAGCAGGATCCTCTATGACCCACCTCCCAGAATATTGGAAATAAAAGCAAAAATAAACAAATGGGACCTAATTAAAAGCTTTTGCACAGTGAAGGAAACTATAAGCAAGGTGAAAAGACAGCCCTCAGATTGGGAGAAAATAATAGCAAACGAAGAAACAGACAAAGGATTAATCTCAAAAATATACAAGCAACTCCTCCAGCTCAACTCCAGAAAAATAAATGACCCAATCAAAAAATGGGCCAAAGAACTAAACAGACATTTCTCCAAAGAAGACATACAGATGGCTAACAAACACATGAAAAGATGCTCAACATCACTCATTATCAGAGAAATGCAAATCAAAACCACGCCAGTCAGGATGGCTGCTATCCAAAAGTCTACAAGCAATAAATGCTGGAGAGGGTGTGGAGAAAAGGGAACCCTCTTACACTGTTGGTGGGAATGCAAACTAGTACAGCCACTGTGGAGAACGTGTGGAGATTCCTTAAAAAACTGGAAATAGAACTGCCATACAACCCAGCAATCCCACTTCTGGGCATACACACCGAGGAAACCAGATCTGAAAGAGACACGTGTACCCCAATGTTCATCACAGCACTGTTTATAATAACCAGGACATGGAAGCAACCTAGATGCCCATCCGCAGACAAATGGATAAGGAAGCTGTGGTACATATACACCATGGAATATTACTCGGCCATTAAAAAGAATGCATTTGAATCAGTTCTAATGAGATGGATGAAACTGGAGCCCATCATACAGAGTGAAGTAAGCCAGAAAGATAAAGACCAATACGGTATACTAACGCATATATATGGAATTTAGAAAGATGGTAACGATAACCCTATATGCAAAACAGAAAAAGAGGCACAGATGTACAGAACAGAATTTTGGACTCTGTGGGAGAAGGTGAAGGTGAGGTGTTTCAAAAGAACAGCATCGAAACATGTATATTATCTAGGGTGAAACAGATCACCAGCCCAGGCTGGATGCATGAGACAAGTGCTCAGGCCTGGTACACTGGGAAGACCCAGAGGAATTGGGTGGAGAGGGAGGTAGGAGGGGGGATTGGGATGGGGAATACTTGTAAATCCATGGCTGATTCATGTCAATGTATGACAAAAACCACTACAATATTGTAAAGTAATTATCCTCCAACTAATAAAAATAAATGAAAAAAAAAAATCAAGGGTGAAACAGATCACCAGCCCAGGTTGGATACATGAGATAAGTGCTCAGGGCTGGAGCACTGGGAAGATCCAGAGGGATGGGATGGGGAGGGAGGTGGGAGGGGGGATCGGGATGGGGAACACATGTAAATCCATGGCTGATTCATGTCAATGTATGGCAAAAACCACTATAATATTGTAAAGTAATTAGCCTCCAACTAATAAAAATAAATGGAAAAAAATAAAAAACAGTTTTTAAAAAGGGGTACGTGTGTGCTAAGTCGTTTCGGTCGTGTCCAACTCTGTGCGACCCTATGGACTGTAGCCCTCCAGGCCCATCTGTCCATGATATTCTCCAGGTAAGAATACTGGAGTGGGCTGACATGTCCTCCTCCAGGGCATCTGCCCCACCCAGGGATCCAATCTGTGTCTCTTATGTCTCCTTACATTTCTGGATTGGGGGGCAGGTTTTTACCACTAGCACTACCTGGGAAGCCCTTAAAAAGGGGGTGGGGGAGTTCTCTGGTGGTGGTTAAAACTCTGCTTCCATCGCAAGAGCCAGAGGTTCAATCCCTGGTAAGACACTGACATGCTGTGCAGTGCAGTCAAAAAAAAAAAAGTTTAAAAAAATAGGTAGGGGGGAATCACAGCCATTCTTGATACTGCCCGCTTTCACTTTACCTAATTGGCATCCCCTCTCACACTGTCTTGCTGGCCTAGAACCATTGCTTGACAGACGTGGGAGTGTAACAGCTTCTGTTGTGATTCATACTCCAGAGCTCCAGGCAGGATCAGGCTGTGACTAAAACTATCCTGAAACATCTTCTGAATGAATTGTTCTTCCCCCTGCCCAATCTCTGTTCCCCTTCCTCCCCTGCAAGTGTCTCCTGGGAGTCCTCCCTTAGTAAGTTACTCACAAGAATCCTCATCTCTGACTCTGCTTCTTTGGAAACTAACCAAAAGCAGGTGCTGGTCCTGAAAGGGACGACAGAGGATGAGATGGTTGGATTGCATCACCAATTCAGTGGACATGAGTTTGAGCAAGCTCCTGGAGATGGTGACGGACAGGGAAGCCTGGGGTGCTGCAGTCCATGGGGGTCACAAAGAGTCGGACACAACTGAGCAACTGAACTGAACTTTGTTTCCTTTTTTATTGTAGTTGATTTACAATGTTGTATTAGCTTCTGGGATATAGCAAAATGATTCATATATATACGTACATAGATTCTTTTTCATTATATATTGTTTCAAGATACTGAATATAGCTCCCCATGCTGTATAGTAGGACCTTGTTGCTTATTTATTTTATATACAGTGCTGTGTATCTGTTGTTTCATTTGCTTTCATCTTTTTCCAAAGAGATAATAATTACTTATTGTAAAAAATTCAAACAGTGCAGAAGTATATAAAATTAAAAGTGAAGATTCCCTGTGCTCCATTCTTACACCAAGAGATCACCACCATCAAAAAGAGTGAATACTTTAGGTTAGGTCCTGTTCACAAGCTCAGTCATGTAAATATATTAAATATAAATAAATGCATAAATTCACACAATTTTCTTAATGCGAATGGTATCATGCAGTATACCGCCCAATACAGTAGATGGCAGTTTATACTGAAATCTATTAAAATTAAGTAAAATGAAGCATTAATTCTTCAGTTACACTAGCCACACTCCAAGTTCTCAGGAGCTCCACTGACTAGTGACGACTGCAGATCGAGGACATGTTCATTGAAAGTTTTTTTCAACAACTCTGTTCTACTTATAACTTTTGTTTTCACGTTACAGTAAGTCTTACAAGCCAAGAGCAGAAAAATTTGCCAAGTGTTGAAGTTGGGCTATATGTACATGAGAATTTGTTATACTATTTTCCTTACCTTTGAATGTTTATTTCTATAATTTAAAAAAATTAAGAAAATAATGTTTTGGGCAACTTGCCAAGCCAGTTCACATGACAACTTACACTTCCTAACAGCTGCATAGTATTTCATTAAAATGGGCTCTAACTGTGCCAGAGATAGCTCAGTAGCCCAAGATCAAACAAAAACACCACATTTTCCTTTCTATGATATAAAATTGACAGTGGAAGGCAACTACCCTGTCCTGGACTATATTTCCCAGCTCACCTTGTATCCAGGTATGGTCATGTGACCCTGAGTGGAAGTGACAAGTGTCACTGCTAAGCCTGAGTTTTAATAATGTGCCTTCTCCACTGTCTGCAGAGACTCCAAGGCCCTAGTGTGGCTGAGTCACAACCAGAAAGCATCTGGGTTCCTGAATTACCTCGTGTAAGAAAGCCACCCACTAGCAAGAGATATCCTCATTGGACTCTTGAACAAACAAGAATTAAATTTCTTTTTCTTAAGCCACTGACTGGGGTGTATTCCTTGCAGTAGCTTGGGGTACTCTAACAAATGCAACAAGTTTTCCAGCCAGTTCCCAGGGGTAAATATACATTCGTTTACTCCAGTGCCATTACCATGCTATACCAGTGGACAAAACACCTCATTCAGAGTCCATACTTCACAGCTGCATGATCCCACAGGCCTCCCCTGTGACAGCACCCACACATCATCTTGGTAGGAACAAGAGTAGGGTGAGAAAATTTGAAAGATTAACTCTTCCTACAATATAGACTGAGTTTCCCAAACAATGCTGAACCAGAAAACTGAGACACTGAGAACATTAAGAATTGACAATGTTTCTCTTCCTGAATCCAGCAGGAACTTGTGTGGAAGATGAGAATACTTAACAAAACATCCAAAAACGCATTTCTTTTCACACTGAGTTGTAGTTTGATTCAACTCCATACCCATTCCCATGGCACCACCATTTATGAAGCCAGATAATTGACAAAGTTACCTCTTTGGATTTAAGCTTCACAACATTCCTGTGTGATAGGAACCCTTATTACTTGTATTGTGCAGCTGAGGAAACTGAAGATCAGAGAGGTTGTGTGACTTGCCTGAGGTCACACAGCAATTTTAAGGCACAAGGGAAAGAGCTCAGGTGGGAACCAGGAGATGGGATGTTATCCCTCTCTTGGCCACTGACTAGCTCGTGGCAAGTGTCCAGAGGTGGCGCACCCTCCTGGGACAGAAGCATCCCCTCCCGACCACATTGGGCATATGGATTCTCTTTGTCCAACTTACGCCTTGTCATTGATTCCAGTGAGGGTGATGTGAACATTCCCCAGGAGTATATACCACAACACCCTGTGAAGAAAGAAAACACCATGATGCATCAAGAAGTTCTTTGGACTCAACCTGAAAAATTGGAGTGGTCTTCTAGAAGCAGGTTTTTTTTTTTTTTAATATTTATTAATTTATTCGGCTGTGCCAGGTCTTAGCTGCAGTACACTGGATCTTTGATCTTCAGTGTGGCTTGCAGACTCTTTACTTGTGCCATGCAGAATCTAGTTCCCTGATCAGGGATTGAACCTAGGTCCCCTGCATTGGTAGCTCAAAGTCTTAGCCACTGGACCACCAGGGAAGTCCCTAGAAACAGGTCTGGTGAGCCTAGATGAAAGCCCCAGTGAGTGACAAACATGAGTTATTACATAGTCTTCACAGCAACCATTCCTGCTTCTGGCACTTCATCTTTGTATTTCATTTTGTTTGTATTACCTTCATTTCCTTTTCAATTACAAGGAGTTCCAGCTGATTTTCAAGAACATACTTTTTTTTTCTAGGCTTGAAATGGAGCAAGACCCTACAGTCCTTGTGCCTCCCCCCAACCTCCAGGTCCTCGGCCAGCCTTTTATCCGTGGGAAATTTTAGTTAAAGAATAAGTTTAATCAGAGAAATGAGAACAGGGAGAAACAAAGGAGACCAAATAATAATTAATGTAGTCACTAACGTAGTTGAGGACTTTTGGTTCCTTCTCAGGGGCTACAGATAATTTTCCGAGCCACAGCCTGTGAGCTGTCTTATACTGAAAGCCCCACCAGGTGAAGTTAACTGCATGATAACCAGACAGCAACCACGACATAAACTGCCACAATTCTGAGAACTGGCCTCAAAGAGATGGAAATAAACCGATCCTGGAACTGAAGATTAACTGTACCTAAAACAACCAAGATGACCCTGGTTAGACCACTGATGACCAATCTGAAGATGACTGTCAAAGATGACCATGCTGTTTCTGCGTGTAGCCTCCTCCTTCTGTCCATAAAAACTCTTGTCCCACTGGTTGCCAGTGTAGGGGAGTTAGCCTTTGGACAGATGTTCGCCCTCCCTCCTCAGTTGCCAACATTGGAAATAAAGCAAACTTTCCACCAACTTGGCCTTTTTACTGGCTTTTGAGCAGTAAGCGGCTGGACTCACCACCTTTCAGTAACAGGCTGTAAAACACAAGTTGATGAACCAACGAAATCAGAGTTACAAGGCAAAAGAGAAAACTTAGACCAACACAACGAAAGTCCACCTTCTAAGTTCTCAGGTTCCAGCCTGTATCTGCCTCGGGGAGATTTATCCTTACACTTCCAGTTTATTTCATGCTGGAGAAGGAGCCTCGACAAATTCTACGCAAAGAAATTTCAATGCTTTAAAACTCTAATCATACATGCTTTAAATAACATGTTTTAAAAATCCAGTGAGAACAAGTCACTTCTGAGTTTCTTGATCTCTGTTGACACTGCTACTGACTCACCTCTCCTCCCCTGGAATAAGATGTCAGTTTCCCTATATTGTGAAGATACCATGGTTGGTTTGTAAAGCACTTTGAAGAATAAGCACTGTCTGACAGTGCTAGATACTATGTTTAGGGGGTTCTCTCCTTGATTCCCTTCCCCATAATAATGAGTTTTGTTTGGGGTTGTAGTAAGTTATGAACTGCATGGTTTAGATAATCATAAATATTTGATCAGCTGTCCCCTTGAACAAAAATCATGGTGCCCCCCAATTTTTTTTAAATTTTGTTGCATCTTTGTAGTAATGTAATTGTATTTTATGCCTGCTTTTTATATTAAAAATTAAATAAAAGAAATTAAGACATAAAAAAAAACTCTAATCATGTGTTTCAGTGGTTGTAATTACTAAAATACAATTACTAACTTTTAGCTTGGGTTTCTCTATCTGTTCAAGTTTTTTTTTTTTTCTAAAACATACATTTAAACAAGCATTCTCAAAGGGAATAACCTCTCCCTTAAAAAGACAAACCTTGGCTCTTGGGAAGAGATAAAAAAAAATCTTGCTATTTTATGTATAGAACACATACAGATATGCACATAATATATAAATAAGTATATAGCATATTCATAGAGTTGCCATGTGTTAAGTGTTAGTCGCTCAGTCATGTCTGACTCTTCGTGACTCCATGGACTATAGCCTACTAGGTTCCTCTGTCCGTGAAATTCTCCACAGAAGAATACTGGAATGAGTAGCCATTTCCTTCTCCAGGGCATCTTCCCTACCCAGGGATCAAATCCAGGTCTCTCCTGCATTGCAGGCAGACTCTTCACGATTTGAGCCACCAGGGAAACTCATAATATATCCATAGTATTAAATTGGATGGGAGGGTAAGACGATTCTTAATTTTATTTTGGCCATGCCACTCGGCACAGGGGAATCATAGTTTCCCAACTAGGAATCAGACCGGGGCCCTCTGCAGTGGAAGCACAGAGTCTTAACCCCTGGACCACCAGGGAAGCCCACAATTCTTTTTTTTTTTTAATGTCTCAAAGGCAGCATTAAGCTCTTCTCTATCTCTGTCACTAACACCATCCTAATCACCATCATCTTCATCATCACCACTACCACCACCATATCTTTGCCATTATCGTTATCTTCAGCATCACCATTGTCACCACCAGCACCATCATCATCACCACCATCATCATCACCACTCTCTGCATATTAAGGGCAGGATTGGAGCACTAATGGCCAGCACTAGTGCTGACACTTCAAAGAAGGAAGTCTACATCTTAGCACTTGAGGTCCACAAGTGACCTGCTCCTTCTAATGCAGCCTTCCAGTCAGCAAGTCCCAAGGAACCTAACTCCCACCTTTCTTTTTTTTTTTTTTGAAAATCACTCAGTCATGTCCGACTCTTTGCGACTCCATGGACTATACAGTCCATGGAATTCTCCAGGCCAGAAAACTGGAGTGGGTAGCCTTTCCCTTCTCCAGGAGATCTTCCCAACCCAGGAATTGAAGCCAGGTTTCCTGCATTGCAGGCAGATTCTTTACCAGTTGAGAGCCACAAGGGAAGCCCAAGAATATTGGAGTGGGTAGCCTATCCCTTCTCCAGGGGATCTTCCCTACCCAGGAATTGAACCTGGGTCTTCTGCACTGCAGGTGGATTCTTTACCAACTGAGCTATCAGGAAGCCTTATCACTAACTGAAATTCTCTTGCTCTTTAATTATTTTAGAGGCAACAAAGCATCATGTTTAAGCATATCAGCTCTAGGGTCAAAATGCTTAGGTTTAAAACTTTGTTATAAGAGGACTACCCTGGTCATCCAGTGATTAAGACTCCGAGCTTCCAATATAGGGGACTCAGATTCAATCAGGGAACTAGACCCCATGTGCGAAACCAAAAAAGATTCTACATGCCACAACTGAGATATGGCGCAGACAAGTAAATAAATGAATATTTCTGTAAAAAAAAAAAATCAAACCTAGAAAAAGCTGACATCTGAAGAAAAAGAACAAGGTTATCTCCATCTCACTGTTCTTCAGAAATAGCTTCCCTGACTTTCCCCTTCTACATAATCCCTAGTCACACTCTATGGCAATTTCTTCCCTAGCAATTGTCACTCTCTGAAATGCTTCTGTTTACTTGTTATTTGGAGCAGCACAGTTTAGAAAAAAATTGCAGACTCCACAACCAGGTTGTCAGTGTTAGTTGCTGGGTTGTGGCTAACTCTTTGCGACCCCATAGACTGTAGCCAACCAGGCTCCTCTGCCCAAGGAATTCTCCAGACAAGAATACTGGAGGGGGTAGCCATTCCCTTCTCCAGGGGATTGTCCCAGCCCAGGGATCGAACTCACATCTCTCACGTTGCAGGCAGATTCTTTACCATCTGAGTCACCAGGCTGCTCACTTTTAAATTCTAGCTGTAACCCCTTACTAGATAACTGGGCTTGGGCAAGTGATTGCGTCTCCTTTGCCTCATTTTTCTTCTTTGTAAAATGGGATCTTTCATGACCTGATATCAGAGGAATTTAGTGAAGGTTGAATGCAGTCTGAGGAACTTAGAAGCTTGCTATTACCGTCAGAGGTTGCCTTTCTTCCTGCCTCCTTCCTGTCAGCTTCTCAAGGGCAGGAACCTTGTCTGTTCATTCACGGCTCTATCCCTGGTGCCTAAAACAGCACCTGGCACATAGTAGGTGCTCAGGAAATACATAAATGAAGGACTGTAACAAAACTCTTCCTTGATGGATGAATTCCCTGGACTGATTTTTTGGTCAAAGCTCCCCCAATGAAATTGTACAGCATCCAGCCTAGAATCATGATGTCCTGACTGGACAGTCAAGGTCCTCCCTCTTCCTCACAGTCTGTTTCCCCCAGGCCTCCTATTCCACCTCACACTCACCCCAAAAGAGGAGAAAACTGAAGCTCCACATCGTGCAGGTCCTGCATTCAAAGAGGAGTACTTCTCCTCTGTTCCCAGGGTTTTCAACAACTGAGGGCGTGGAGAGAAGGGAAGGGCAGAGCGCGAATTGCTCAAGGCAACCAGAGCATCACATCCTTTTCTGCTGAGTTGCCTCTACTAAGAAAGGAAATTCTGACAAGCCTCTAAGTCTCTCCTTTCTCCACAATGAAGATAAGTTCACCTGGTTAGTGGGTCATTGTGTGGGTCTATCTCCCTCTCTCTCTCTTTTCTTCCCACTCACTTTTTCCTTTCCCCTACCAAGATCTATCTCCCATCTCTCATCACCTTATTTTATTGCATGCATGCTAAGTTGCTTCAGTCATATCCAGCTCTTTGTGACACCATGGACTGTAGCCCACCAGGCTCCTCGCTCCATGGGATTCTCCAGACAAGAATATTGGAATGGGTTGCCGTGCCCTCTTCCAGGGGATCTTCCTGACGCAGGGATTGAACTCGCATCTCTCATTTCTCCTGCATTGGCAGGCAGGTTCTTCATCCACCGAGGAAAGCCCATTTATTTTATTGTACCCAATAATAAATAAGCTACCACCACCTAACCTCAAGGAAGCAAGCCCCAGACTCAAGCGTCCCCTCTCAACCTGCCCCACACAAACAACATCATAGCCATCAAGCATCAGACACTGTTAAACATGTTTCCAATAAAATTTAATGTCATCATCATTCAATGTCACATAGTAGGGATTCTTACCTCTGCCTATTTCACCAAAAAAAAAAAAAGTACAATTACAATGGAAACCAAGGGCTTCCCCAGTGGCTCAATGATAAAGAATCCACCTGCCAATACAGCAGACACGGGTTCCATCTCTAGTCCAGGAAGATCCCACGTGCCGAGAAGCAACTAAGTCCGTCCACCGTAACTATTGAGCCCATGCCCTGGAGTCCAGAAGCTGCAACTACTGTAATCCAAGTGCTTTACAGCCCTTGCTCGGCAACAAGAGAAGCCATCACAGTGAGAAGCCTGTGCACCACAGCTAGAGATTAGCCCCTGTCTTCCACAACTAGGGAAAAGCCAGCCCAGCAACAGAGATGCACAGCCAAAAATAAATAAATAAAATTACTTTTAAAAAATGGAAACCAAGGCTTGGAGAGGAGACATGACTTGCCTAAGATTACCTGAACCCAAGATTTGAAACCAGGATCCTCTGGCTCCAAGGTCTAGAGTTTTCACCATCTTACTTGTTTTCATTTCCCTACAATACCTGATCACTGGACAGTGATACTCATACTCAATTCCTAGTACCATCCCCAACCCAGCACACACACACACACACACACACACACACACCATCTCATAAATATGGTGATCTAGGAATGTCTTAGTTAGGGTCCCAGGTATAGACCCTGAGACAAGGATTCTAATGAAAGCATTGGGTTGGCCAAAAAGTTCTTTTGGGGTTTTCCATAATATTATAGTTCATCAGAGAGGTGACCCCAGAAAACTCCAGCTGGGGATGGGGGAAGTGAGAGAGGGAAGGGAAAGAACGTACAGTGGATGTTCTCAAGCAAGTTATCTAGTAGAAACTAAAACTTAAGGTGGCTGGGGACTTCTGGAAGGCAGCTTAGAGCATACTCTTAGAGTTATCCCAACTAAGGGGTGAAGGAGTTAGGGTATTTATCCACCAGCTCTGTAAGTCACTGATTAAGGCTGGGTCAACTCCAGACTTGGGCTTCCCAGGTGGCTGAGTAGTTAAGAATCCACCTGCCAATGCATGAGATGCAGGAGACTCCGGTTCAATCCCTGGATTGGGAAGATCCCCAGGAGAAGGAAATGGCAACTCCACGCCAGTATTCTTGCCTGGGGAATCCCATGGAGTGAGGAGCCTGGTGGGCTATAGTCCATGGGATCACAAAGAGTCAGACACAACCAAGCAAATGAGCGTGCGTGTGCGTGTGTGCGCACACACACATACACACAACCCAAGACCTGGCCTCCAAGCAGATAGAATGGGCTCATAACGTACCAACCCTATTGATAACAAAATGCAGTGACTGGCAGATGTTAGTCTAGCATGCCTTGAAGGATTGAGGGTCACAGGTGTGGGCAGGCTCCCAAAACATCTGCTCTATGCTAAAACTTAGGTGCAAAGACCACCCCTGTGTTTTTGGAATGAGAGTTACACTTTTATTTTTTTTAAACAGTTTTAGTCCTAGATTTAATTGTATAACCAATGGTTTCCAAAAAATGTTACTTTGTTGCTTCCCCCCCCCCCATTTTTTGGCAACATCATGAGACATATGGGATCTTAGCTCACCCACCAGTAATCAAACCTCTGTGCCCTGCATTGAAAGTGCAGTCTTTTTTTGTCCTACTATTTCGTTTATTTTTTTCTTTCACTCATTTTTTTAAAAAACTTTTTATTTTGTATTGGAGTGATGGTTCAGACAGTAAAGAATCTGCCTACAATGCCAGATAGCTGGGTTCGATCCCTGATTTGGGAAGATCCCCTGGAGGAGCGCATGGCAACTCATTCCACTATTCTTGCCTGGAGAATCCCCATGGACAGAGGAGCCTGGTGGGCTACAGTCTACGGGGTCACAAAGAGTCAGACACGACTGAGCAATTAAGCACAGCACACAGCCAATTAGCAAACTATGTTGTAATAGTTTCAGGTGAACGGCGAAGGTACTCAGCCATACATATCAATGTACCCATTCGCCCCCACGCTCCCCTCCCATCCAGGCTGCCACATGACATTGAGCAGAGTTCCCTGTGCTCAGCAGGTCCTTATCACTTATCCACTTTAAATACAACAGTGTGTGGAAATGCAGAGTCCTCACCACTGGCCCACCTGGGAAGTCCCACTGCTTGCTTTTATATTCTCGTTTTTGCTCTGTGCAAGGCAAAATATCCACCTTGGAGTGACAATGACTGAAGCAGATTCATCAGTGGTTCTGACCATTCATCAAGAGACCTTACATGGCGAGGCTGCAGTTACAAGCCAGCAAAGTCCCCCAAGAAGGAGGTTAAGCAGAGCCATGTCATGTTTAAGAGAAGCACCATAGGGTCGCAAAGAGACGGACAAGGCTGAAGCGACTTAGCATATATGCATGCATTGGAGAAGGAATGGCAACCCACTCCAGTATTCTTGCCTGGAGAATCCCAGGGACGGAGGAGCCTGGTGGGCTGCCGTCTATGGGGTCGCACAGAATCGGACACAACTGAAGCGACTTAGCAGCAGCAGCAGCAGAAGATAAACACAAGTCTCTGGCATCAGATTGTTGGGGGTTCAGATACTGTCTGCACCACTTGCTGGTTATGTGTGATCCTGGGCGAGTTCTTTTTTTATTATTTTTATTGAAATACAGTTAATTTACTATTTGTGTTATTTCAGGTGTATAGTAAAATGATTCAGATACATATATGTATACTCTTTTTAAATATTCTCTTCCGTTATAGGTTATTATAAGATATTGAGTATAGTTCCCTGTGCTATAGCATAGGTCCTTGTTGGTTACCTATTTTATATATAGTGGTGTGTACATTTTGATCCCAAACTCCTAATTTATCCCTTTTCCCTCCTCCCCTTTGGTGACCATAAGTTTGCTGTTTATGTTGATGAGTCTGTTTCTGTTTTGTAAATATATTCATCTGTATGATCTTTTAGATTCTACCTATGAGTGACATCATGTAACATTTGTCTTTCTCTGATTTATTGTATTAATATCTCACTTAGTATGACAATCTAAGGTCCATCCATGTTACTGCACATGGCATTTCATCCTTTTATGGCTGAGTAATATTCCACGGTGGGCTTCCCAGGTGGTGCTAATGGTAAAGAACCCACCTGCCAATGCAGGAGATACAAGAGATGTGAATTTGATCCCTGGGTCAAGAAGATCCCCTGGAGAAAGGCACATCAACCCACTCCAGTATTCTTGCCTGGATAATCCCATGGACAGAGGAGTCTGGCAGGCTACAGTCCATGGGGTTGCAAAGACTTGGACATGACTAAAGTGACTTAGCACACACACACACAATATTCCAGTGTATAAACATATCACATCTTCTTTATCTATTCACCTGCTAATGGACATTTAGGTTACTTCCATGTCTTGGCTACTGTAAATCGTGCTGCCGTGATAGGGGTGCATGTATCTTTTGAATTGTGTTTTTCTCCAGATAAATGCCCAGGGATGGCATTGCAGGATCATATGCTAACTCTATTTTTTCATTTTTTAAGGAAACCTCCTACTGTTCTCCATAGTAGCTATATCATTTACATTACCACCAACAATGTAAGAGGGTTCCCTTTTCTCCACACCCTCTCCAGCATTTAATTTCTCTCTGCTTCAACATTGCCATCTATAAAATGGGCTTGATAATAGTAGGCTCTATCTCTTGGGGTTGAGGTGAGAATCAGAGCACAGTTGCTGTTTGTGACATTCTTAGAAGAGAGCCTGGCATACAGGGAAAGCTCCAGGCTTGGCTGTTACTCAAATTCTTTGATATTCTTCCCTTCAAGAGGGGGAACCTAATCCTTCCCTTCTTGGGTATGAGCTGAACAGAGTGACTTGCTTCTAAAGATCAGAAAAAGGAAAGATGTGACATAGTGTGGTGTCCGAGATTGTAAGAGTGCATCTGAGATTGTAAGAGTCATGGTGGTTTCCCCTCTTTCTTTCAAGATAATTCACTGGGTGGGGTGGGGGGAAGCTAGTTTATCATGTTGTGGGGACACTCAAATAGCACTGTGGAGATGCCCACAAGAGGGAGAGATAAGATTCCAACCAATAACTTGACAATGATCTCCTAAGACCTGATCCAGTTCTATCCAGTTAAGCCAACTTCAGACTCCCAACCCTCAGAAACTGCAAAGAAAATAAAAATGTATTGTTTTAATGCTGTTACATTTGGAGAGCAACTTGTTACATAAAAAAGCTAACTGATACACTTAGAAGCAATAGTCTTTGTCAGTTTAAAAAAAAAAAAAGGATAATCATGACATCACAGGG